CCATGACTTCGAGAAAACCCAGTGGGGTAACAAGTAATTACCACATTGTCTTGATGCGCTGAATCATACTGCATTGCATGTGTGTTCTGGTCACGGTACAACCCTATGACCGGCAACAGCGAGTGAAAGCACCGAAACTTGACTTAAATGCTTCGAGCAGTCTGTCCGGCTTACTCTAGCTGATTCTTGCAGAGCGCTTTCACGTGCACTCGATTCAGTTCACGAAGCCTCAGATGATCAAGAGTACGTACGTACGCGCGCTGACCGCTGTCGTTACAGTTGACTTGCCATGTTGTCGAAAATTCCATGCGATGCGCTCTCGCGAACGTCTAAGAGATCACATGTGGCATCTGCAATTAAGCGACGCGTCGAAAGGATTTGGATGGGTTGGTATATCCTGCCGAGAACGAGCATCGTTGTATCGTAGAGGTGCCCCGTGTAACTCTCTGTTAGAGCGAGACGCTGTGGAGGGGGGGGGGGGGGGGGGGGGGGGGGGGGGGGGGGGGGGGGGGGGGGGGGGGGGGGAGGGGGGGGGGGGACGCTGTGGGAAGCAGCACACCGTTCGTCGAAGTTGCCGCAAATAGCATGCCCGGCACAAGTCTCCACCGTCAGGGCATGTTCCAACGGCATCTTCACATCAGGAAACAGTAATGCAGCTGAAGGTGCCGATGCGACCGCGTTATGCCTTTTGAACATGTCTTGATCAGCAAGACAGGAAACAAGCAGCCGCAAAAAAACACCACATACCTCGACATCGTCTCGCGTAGCGTCTCGACTGTTTAGTCCCATCACCGCACCGAATTGATTCGACATACGTCGCTGGAACGGCTGTGCATAGACCTTTCACGTTGCAGTCGCGTGTATCTTTCCAACTTCTTTTCGAGTGACGGCCATTCAACGAATGCCCGTGATTTGCGCCATGTCAACGAACTGTTTCCAGACATCGCACAAGACGCTTCGTAGGTATCTCGAAATACATGTCCTTACGACACCAACGCACCCGTTTGAGTAAAAGTAGCGACGCCGATGGACAATCCATTTCCCAGTCGTCGACCTCCTGCAATCAGAGGTGATCTCTTCTTGTGCGGCCAAACAAACAGGTCTCCTTCGGTGCAGTCGTCAGTCACTCGAGAGAGACATTGCGAGTCAGTGCGAATCGATAGTCGACATTTCTATTCGCACTGACTCGCAACGCCTCTCTCGATGATGATGATACCAACACGTGGTTTCGTGTTTATTTACTCGCCATCTCGTGAGTCACGTCTCGTTCAACACTATCGACAGTCAGGTTCAATTGAATCACGGGCGCGATGGTGCCGAGTTCCCAGCGCATGACCGTCGTGACGATATCGGCTGCGTTTCGATGTGCGTCGTTCGAAGAGCCGTAATTCGCTTGACCCGACCACCGCACTTGCATGTACTTATCTTCGCCCGTGACACAGTCGGACACTTGCAGCATTTCAATCGTCAGTGCGAGTTCGGCCCACACAAGTGGCGCGTATGGCTCCATCCCCGCACGATCCGGAAAGAGTTTGGCACTGGAAGTAGCGGCTGGATTCAGGCTCTGCGTCCCAATGACATACCCCCTCGCGCGTAGACGCGGACTGGTTTCGACACGCTCGGCACGACTCGAGAGCAACGACGAGCCATTGAACGGCACTTTGCCCGTCGTTTGCATCCGATAGTGCAGCAGTGTCGTTCGGAACACGGACGGCTGGTCCGGCGACTGCACGTCACGTCCGAGCACGTAGGCATTGTCGTTTACTTTCTGCAGCACGTCGAGTCGCTGGATGTCGCGTTCGATTGCACGTGCGCTGTCCAAGTGCAGTCCATGTGCCCAGGTCTTGTGCATGAGCTCTGCGACCGATACGGTTGCAGTGGTAAACCGTTTCGTAAAGACAAAGTCCATAAAGCTGCCTCGAACACGTCGTCGAGCGTCCCATCCAAAGACATCGGCTCGATCCACTTCGAATCCGTTCCCGTAGCTATTCGGCTCGAGGAGTTGCACCTGCACGTGCTTGACAGCCTGTGTATTGTGGAGGATCACGTGCTTCACGTCGCGTTCCGAGCGCTCACGATGGCCAAACACGACTTCAGCTTCGTGGGCATTCAAGAGGTCGATATGTATGGGAAGCGGTGACCCACTTGGCGGGTCTGCTGTGTTTCGGTGCCACGCCGTTGTCGAGCCATCGAGCATCACTGTGGTCTCGAGCACGCGTCGAACGTCAAATTCCCACGACGCCTGCGACTGAATCGACGCTTTGAGGAAGAGGTTCTCGGCGCCCAATTGCTGCAGCAGCTCGAGCGCTTTTGCGTGTCGCTCGCGCGTGTTATTGCAGTCGATGTGCTTCCCCGCGTCCCTTTTTGCACGTTGGCGGAGCGCCTGGTACTGCTGTTCCAAGTCGGCGACAGCCTGTCGCAGCCATTGCAACTGCTCGCGTTGGCGCTGGCGCGAGCGTTGCATGGACTCTCGATTTTTCTGCCGCCGATGGGCTAAAGCCGCGCGGTGTTCGGAATCCGCGCGGAGGAGATCCAGGACGGCATGTGGATCGCTGACATTGAGCCACATGGAGGAGTTGAGACTGGAAGATGCCATTTTGGGGCGATCGAGGTTCGCTCTTTCTGTCTCCAGAAGTAGGAGGAGGAAGGAGGAAGGAAGGAAGTCGACAAGGCCGAATGGATCAAGTGATTGTGTGGGGGGAGTGATTGATTCCGTTTGTTTGTGTGTTTGTGTGGCAATTTCGCGTCTTGTACTGGTCGCAACGTGGTGGTGCACGAACTGTCTGTCCAAGCGCTTCAGCTCGTCGGGTAGTTAGTAAGTTAGTAGTAGTGGTTTTACCAGTTGGTGGGCTACGTCTGTCTGTCTGTTTGTATGTGTGTGTAAGTATTGGGAAGCAATTAGTGAGTAGTAAGTTCCGATGCGGTTTTGGCTTGAACATGGACGTTTATGGACAAAGCCAAGAAGGTATAGTCACGCCGTGTGAGTTGACAATGATCTGCGCTCGTCGTGTTGCTGCTGATTCGACTGCTGTTTTCGCTTCTAATGCTGAGCCGAGCGCTCGATCAGAGGACAGTCGCGAGCGGATGTCTGCACAAAAGGGCATCGATAGACCCGCAGGCGTCGCGCAGGTCCCATCCCATATCGTCGATCTTGCCGAGACCACTTAGCCTCATTTGTAGCCGCGGCCTGAGATTCAAAGGATGGTGGGAAACACGCTGTTTGGCCAAACAAAGCGATCGATCGAACGAGTGAGCGCGAGACGAAGACACATACACAGCGCATGCGCGAGCGAAGCGTTGGATGAACCCCTGCCAGGACATACGAGACGTCGCTTGTGGGTTTATGAGAAGAAAGAACGAAACAACCGACGATGTGGCTTTTTGCGATCGAGACAGTCGTATGTACGTATACCTCTCGACGGTCTCGTGCCTCCTGATGTTCAGCATCCATTTGATTATTACCACCCGCAGCCTCCTCACACCCCCACCCTCACCCTCACTCTCCTCCCGTCGTTCTCCTGTGCCTCGAAACTCAGTCCTCGCGTTACGGTAATGACGAAACACGATTACAATAGCCGGCGCAGGAAAGTGTCCACCATCGCTCGGACGCAAACAGACGCACTGCGCGCCAGCTGACTTCGCTGCCCTTCTTCCTGTCCGGCTTTTGTGCGTCCGTGGGATACGCAAAGTAGATCCGCCTGCTGTTGACCGCGTGAAGATTTTTCGTATTACTCACAGCAGCAGCAGCAGAAGCGCCCAGAAACCCCCGCGAACCCAAGAACCACATAACCCACAAACCCAAACACATAAACCACAACACACATCACAACCCACAAACCACAACGTGCGTTGTGTTGACTCATGTTTCGCCCATTTCAGACCCTCTCAGTCGCTCAGAGGTCCGTTCGTCTGTCCGACTCTCGAGCTCTTTCTTTCGAGTCGGACCCCTCCCCACTGCTGTTGTCGATGCACTCACTCACTCACTCACTCACTCACTCACTCTCTTGGTACTGTAACGTCCCCAACGTCTCGTTCCACGAACGCGCGCGTCTTTTTTCTGCAGCGCTGGGTATGCCGTACTGTGCATAGCGCTGGGGCTCGGGATCCAGTGGATGGACACTCACCCGCCGCCACGCGACGGCGCGGGCCAACGGCTTTTTCAGACCGACGCACTGGTGCGTTCGACTTTGTTCCTCGCGGGCAGAGACTTTGCTGCGCGATCGCACTCGTCGCTTGTGGTGGTGACCCATTTGTTGTATTGGACTGTGCACTTGACGTGTTATGGCCTTTGGGGTTGTAGGCGTGGAGCGATTTGGACGCGTGCGCGGCCGCGAAGGCCGCCAAAGAAAAGACCCACAGCGCCACGCAAGTGAACGAACGATCGTGAGATTGCCACCTAACGCAGTCAGATGTATACAGACGGAGCGTGACGAGCTCTTTTGCCGATGGCGGAGAGGGGTACAGACTGTGCTGTTGTTGACTGGTCGTGGGGCGCTCGAGTGGCTGTGGCAGTGACGTCAGGAGGGAGAGGGACAGGAAAGAGCGACGACGAGGAGCGAAGGGAGAGAAGGAGAGCAGCTCACTGTACATTGAAAAACGAAATGAATGGACCTGAGGCGTCGACGGCAGTTGCTCCTCTGTGTGCCTTTCGACGCTCTTGCAAAACGTCGACCTCATTTATTTTCTGCAGCGAGCAAAGGGTTGTAGCGTTGTAGTGCCTGATGCGTAATGGCTACGGGAGCTCTGGACGTATCTGTTGACACGGACAGAGCGCACAGCCGTCGGTCGAAAGTTTGCTTGAGATGTCGGGTCTGGAATAGTAGACACATACACACGCAGTGTGCCCTGTGCGTACGTGCTTGAGATCAACCACACTGGATCTTCAGCACACGTTTGTCGTCATGTGTCGTCGCAACTTGATCGACAATCATATGCCTTGGCCCGTGTGCGGCAATGTGCGTCCGACGAGTGCGTCTCTACTCGCTGAAACGTGTCCAGACTCATCTCAACAAGACACGCGTGATCGCTTGGACCATACCGCGCGCTGACTTCCAAAACAGCGTCGTAAATGCTGCCACATCACGTCCATACAACCCGCGTGAGCAACAGTCCTCTTCCACACCCGTAACAACAATAACCTCAATGACGTGCGCCTTTGTGCGCCGCCAGTAGCTCACCTCTCAAGCTCGATGTACCACTGGGGAACGCAGACAGTGCGAACGAGCCCAGCGTGAGTAACTGCAAGACCGCACTCAGCACGACGAACACGTAGTCCCCCAGCACCAGACAACTGTACAGCGTACACCCTAACATAACAGCAGCAACAACAGCAACAGCAACAGCAACAATAGCAAAAACAAAAACAACAATAACAACAGCGTCAGCCCCTCTTGTGCAATCAGTTGTCCAGCTCTGTCCCCTTTTCTGCGTCCTACCGAGCGTCACAAAGTACGCGCAAGTCAGCAGCAGTCGATGTGGCTGCAACAGTTCCACAGCATAAGCTGCCGGACCTTTCAGCATTGCAACTGCGCTCATGCAGCACATGCTGCCCAGTGTAAAACTCAGTGCAAACTTGGACGGACGGACCACGAGCTACAAAAAAAGCAAAAAAACAGGTCAACCGCTGCTCTGTCACACCAACAACACAAAAAAAACAGCGAAAACAGGTACACACACAGACACAACATGGCTTCACGCGAGCTGCAAAGAAAGCAAAACAACAACCTCTCTACTCACCAACGGCAGAAAGACAAATGCCATGCCGAAAAACAGCAGCCCCAGCAACGTCATGGCTACAAAGTACTTGAACCGAGCGTTCCTGAACAAGCAACCCACAAAAAAGCACATTGTTTTCGTCACTTTTTTGTCGACCCCTCGCTTGCCTGATTGTACGTGGCACACACCAACTCATCGTCGGGAGCCCAAGTCCGCGCAGACTCGTCGCGGTCTTTCGTCCGCCCAACGACGTGGCGACACTGGCGTCATCAACGGTCTGTTGCCGCGCGCCGCTCTCGAGCGCGTCACTCGCGTCTTTTGGCACAGTGACCGCACTTTTTGTCAACGCGCGCGCCGAGTCCCACGTCTTTTGGAACACGGACGTCGTTGTCGCGCTGCTGTCGCTCTCGAGGCCGCTGGACGACGTGGCAGACGAGCGCAGCAGACTCTGCAGCGCCTCTTGGGCGTCCTGCAACTTGCTCGACGACGACGACGAGGGGCTTCTTCTTGCCGCCCCATTGCTCCCACGCGCTCATGACGACGAATCGAAGAGTGATGGTCGGGCTGACCAGACACCGGCAGGGCACTGTGTCTGTGGGCCACAACCGCACAGTCGGGCGAGAGACAAGAGACAGGCGCATTTCTAACGGAGCGGAAGGATGTGTAGAAATAGAAACGGAGAGACTTAGCGGACAGGACGGTTAGAGTCCTTTGATCCGTATATCGAGTACAGCACCCCATTCCCATTTCCCTCCCTTACCTCATACACAATGCACCAAATACACGATACACACACGTGATGAAAAGAGTAGTTCCTTCTTAGCAGCAGCTACGAGCAAGCACCTTTAAATACAGTGCGACACAAAAGGACACGATGTCTCAAGTCGACAGGCGTTCACGAGAGCGGATCGATCTTGTCACACGTTGACGGTCGAGTCGCTCTCGTGAACGCCTGTCGAGCTTTTGTGTCCGTCGTTGTCGTTGTCGTCCTCGTCGTCGGCGTCTACGAAGGCACACGCGCGCGAGAATAGCGACGCCCATTGGCATCTCCCGTTGAGTTCCGCATCGCAATGGAAATGGCGTCCGAGCGGGGCAGCGAGTTGGACGCAATGTACGACTCGGCGAGCGTCGTCTCTTCGTCGCAACTGAAAGCGTAGCCCGTCGTGCGGCGGCGTGGCGTCGGCCGGAGCATCGTCGATGGCGCCCGGTCCCATGTTGTCTCCTCGGACGTCGGCTCGCTGTACACGTTGGCTGTGTAGTATTCCGTCGCGCCCGACTTGACTGGCATACCTGATGTCCCGGTCGTGCTCGGCGGGTCCTTTGTTGGCTGTTGCTCGTGTGATGTCCTTGCAGAGCTTCGTGAACGGTGCTGCCTCTTGACAATGTCGGCGTCCGTGTGTCCAAAGTCACTCAAGTAACTCGTCGTGTGCACGTCGTCCAGTGACATGGACAACGTCTGCTCCTCGACGTGGTTGATCGTAAGTCGGCGCTCAGACTTGTGGCGCGAAGAGCCTCCCATCGACTCCTGGAGGAGCTGAGCCAGGTCCGGATGGAACGTCCGCTGGAAGAGGTTGTACGAAATGTGGCGTCCGAGGGCGAGCGAGCAGCCCATGATCAGCACCAAGAGGTACCCCCAGGTCCTAGCAGTAGGGGCAAACGCGCCAAACTCGTCGTAACCGACCTTGAACGTTGCAATGTAGGGCGTCTGGGTACCGATGGACGCAAAAAGGAACCACGCCATGACGCTGCCAAACCACAACGAGAACGACAGCACGGTCCATCGATCGGCAATCATCCAGATCTTGATGTTCACGATCAAGACCGTCAGCGAGAACGCGACCATGCCGAATTCCACGCGAGATTCACTGCCCGCCGCCTTGTCCGATGCATTGAAGCCGAACGTCATCACGACAAAGATGATCAGCGATTCATAGAAAGCAGCGGCAATCCAGCGGAAAAATGTATACATGTTGAAGTAAAACCGATCTGGGCCACGACGGTACAGGTCCGGGTAATCGATGCTGAATGGCGCTGGCAAGTCCTTGTCGAGCACACCCACGACAACAATCGGCAGGCCCGTGAAAGCGATATTGTACAGCTGAACACCGATCTCCCAGTACAGCTTGGAGCCGGAAGCACCCGAGAGGTAGCCATACCAGTACTGCACCATAACAAGTGTAATGTTCTTGTAGAACATGTACAGCACCAGCTTGGAAATGCGGATGTAATTCCAGCGGCCGTGCACCAGCAACAGGCGCTCGAGAAAACGGAACTGGGCGATGGCGTAGTCGCTCGAGTTTACCGCCTGCATGCCTTCTTGACCCGAGATGCCCACGCCGACATGAGCGGCCTGAATCATGGCAACATCGTTGGCTCCATCTCCAATAGCCAAGGTCCGCACGGTTGTGATGTTCTCTCGAACAAGTTTCACCATCTCTGCCTTCTGGGCAGGAGACACGCGGTTGCAAATCACGGCGCGGCACAACTTGGCAAACGCTAGCAAATGCGGCGCAGAGTCCGGGCTCAACGCCATTTCCAATGCCTCGCCGTCAATCACCAGCGACACTTCCTTCTCTGCGCCACCTGCCATACCTTTCGAATTGTCCAAAAACTCACTAGTTGCTGCGCTTAATCTCGCACGAAGCGATGCTTCGTCCGGACACGTGGTGGCATTTATAATGACTTGCTGAATCGAATTGTCGAGCAACGAGCACGCGTACGAGATGTTGATCGCTGTCTCCTCCTTGTCGCCCGTTAGCATCCACACCTTAATTCCTGCTCGAGTCAAATTTGCGAGGCACTGCGGAACGCCGTCCTGCAGTTTGTCTTCGATTGCCGTTGCGCCAATGAGCTCCAGTCCCTCTTCGATCTCTTCCATCAAATCATCAATCGCATTCTTCTTGCCATCTTTGCGTCGATCGAGTTCAGCCACACTACCCTGTGCGTCGTCAAACCGTGTCTTCCATTGCTGGAACCAGCTCTCGTCGAGCGGTTTCACTGCAAGCGCCAAAGTACGCAACCCATCGTCCGCGTATTTCTCCATATGATCACGTGTGATGTTCTTGAGTCTCAGCATTGCGGGGTCGTCTCTCAGGCGCTGGTAGATCATCATGTCAGCCCCTTTCGTGTACAGCAGCAGCTCCCCGGTCGGCTTCCGCACCACAACGGACATGCGCTTTCGTGTACTAGTGAACTCAAGCACATCGAGCACGTTGTACGTCACGCGCTCTCCTAATACATTCACCACAGCCGTTCCAACACTGCGACTCTCAAACTTGAACCCTGCAAAAGCTGCACCAGCCACAAGAGCCTGTTCGTCGGGCGATGACGCCGAGAAACGGATCTCACCGGATTCCAGCTTCTCAGGAATCACCGTGTGGCACACGGCCAGGTGCTCGAAAAACTGCAAGATCTTTTCCTTCTGCTCCTCACCCGCACTGCCCTCCATTGCATCAAAAAGTGACTTGTCCACAAAGTTCACAAACGGAGTCTTCTTCACATTCAGGTCCAGCCGAGGCTCGGCCGGGATCGGCTTTCCAGCGCGTGTTAGCGCAGCGCGCCCTATTTCCGTGAGGCCCGAGCCGTACGAAGTACCGTTAATGGAACATCGGCGGAACTCCATGACGTTGCATGTCAGCGTACCCGTCTTGTCGCTGAACACGTACGAGATCTGGCCCAGCTCTTCGTTCAACTCCATCGTTCGCACAATAGCAGGCGTGTCCGACTCTGCGTGGTACATTTCGAGGTCCCACGCCATGAATCGAGACTGCAGGAACTTGACCGTCGTCATCGACACGTAGAGCGAGATGGGAATGACCTGGTAGAGCAGCAAGAAGTAGTAGAACATCATCTGGATGAACGCGACAAAGCGCGAGCGCGTTCGCTCGGCTTCCGATAGCTTGATGTACCACGTGTGGCGCACGATCTCGTACTGCCACGTGACGTAGCACGACGCCGCCACGGCGCACGCGACAAACAGCCCCAGGCACAGAAACACAATCATGCGATTGATGCTGAGCATGAGGTCGCTCCACTTGGACGGCGCGGCGCTCGCGCTCTGCATGATCTTCGTGTCGTTGCCCGTGTTGAGCACGAGGCCAAAGACCCAGTCCGTGTTGCGCAAGTTGCACCCGCGCAGCAGCACGTTCTTGACCGAGAGCGGCACGACTTCGACGCCACAGCCGTCGCCGACCGTGACTTCGACTTTGCCTGCAAACTTGTTAATGTGCGGGTTCGGCCGCTCGCACTTGACGACGCCGCGGAGCAGCGCGAGCTCTGCGGCGTTCGACAGCGAGCTCATGGTCGCGGCCACGGCCTGCCGCAGCTTCAAGTTGGTCTCGCCATCCAGGCTCTTGGTCTCGACGTAGCAAATACCGCTCGGGGGTTCGCCCACGGGCTCGGCCACGGCCAGCACGAGCACGTCAGCGGGAATGACCTCGCGGTTGTAGATCTGGAGAAAGTCGCCGACTTGAATGTCGGCCCACTTGCGGTCCACCGTGCGGCCGTGCGCGACCACGTGGCACGTGGCAGCGTTCGCCTCCTTGTCGGACGCGTGGCGCCGCAGGTCCTCCATGACGGCGAACACGGCGTCAATGGAAATGACAAAGAACAGCACGGGCGCGTTCGTCGGGTAGCCGTACGTGTTGCTGATGCTCGGGATGCTCTGGAGCACGCAGACCATGAGGAAGAAAAAGTTGGCCACTTTGGTGAAACTCTCCTTCAGGAACTTGGGCAGAAACGTCACGAGCGAGTACTTGGACGTCACGACGACGTTCGAGCACTTGTCGAACGGCGCGTTGCCCGGCGCGTAGTTGAGGTACACTTCGCGCAGCTGCGCCGGCGGCGCGTCGGCCGTCGACGACGCAGCGGTTGTCGACGCCGCGGTCGGAGCGCCCCCGGCGCTCTTTTTGTCGCCCGCCAGTGCGGTGCTCGACGAGTGCTGCGATAAGTACGCGCGCCGCCCGAGCGCGGGGTCGGGTACCTTTGCGTCCCCGTCCCCTAGCGCGCGCCTACTGGCCCTGCTCTGGCGCCCTTGGCGCGGCGACTGCAGCAGCGCGGGGCTCCCGAGCGTGTTGTAGCCGCTCGTGCTCGAGTGCAGCGCGCTGTCGGCCGCCGTGCCGCCGACGGCCGCTGCGGCCGCCACGACGGGCGTGAGGTCGACGCGCGGCGCCTCGTGGTCGTCGCGGAACAGGCGCGACGTGCTGCGCTTGGCCGCCATGGCAAAATGAGGCACAGAGGCTAATTATAGGACCGCCGGCCTGTCTGTCAGTCTGTCAGTCTGACTGTCTGGCTGACGGACGGACGGACGCGGACTGACTCCCTAACTAACTGAATCGCCAAGTGACTGACTGAGTGACTGACGGACGGTCGGTGTTTGGTGTGTGTGTGTGTTTTGTGTGGGGCGGTCGGGTGGCGCGCGCCCGGTCTTTTTCTTGTCGTCGGCGTTGCGGAAAGGACGGGCGCGCGCGCCGACTCGGGGGGCGTCGTTTAATCGTCGCTTGTCGAGGGGTAGGGACAAACATAGATCGGGCGGCTTTAGTGTCGGGGGCAATAGCGCCCTGTCGCGCGTGATGGGCGTGCGGTGTGCGAGAGGGAGCAACCGATCTGGCGCCAACGCGGCCGTGAACTGGCTCGCAGCCGCGGCCCAGAACAAGATCATGCGATGCAGCGATTGGCTACTGGAACGTCGTTGCACTTGGGGTTGTAGCCGCTTGAAGTGCGTGCAACAGCTGGTTGCGACAACGGGATGTTAGTGCTGGTAGTGTTGTTGTTGTTGTTGTTGTTGGGTTTCGTGCTGTGGGCCCATTATGGGCACATTGTGTCATTGAGACCATGTTGAGATGTGCCCAGCGCGACGACGGGACTCTGCGCTGCATATTGTCGCGTTGCCACGTCGAATCAGTGACGTAGACACTGCAGTGGAGGCACGCGAGAGAATAAGGGACACTTTCGCTGCGTCGACACACTCGTGCAGCAAAATGTGCTACCGCCACTGACGAGAAGAAGACGGGTTCGGATTGATCTTAGTAGGCCTACTGTGCTCGGGGGCGAAGGGGGCGTTGATGCACATAGTTGTCGGAACTTGAGCACTGCTGAATCTTCGTACTGAACGACAGACGCCGGTCGACCAACAGTCACAGACGAGAGTTGTAGTTGGCGTGTCGTGGATCAGTTGCAGCAGTGATCTCGTTGCCACGTCGGCTTTGCATATCTGTTGTTACGAGCGACTCGGACTGAGTACCGCAGTTGGGCCTTTACCTCGTTTACCGGAAGAAAGGAAGAGTGAACTACCACGTCCCACCTGTGCTTGCTTCGACTCACTGCGCACATCCGTTGGAACCGGACCTTGGGCACATTTGTATGGCCAGGAAAACGACGGAACGCACGTATGTCCTTATTGTGACTGCAATGGCTTCAACGTCCTATGGTGTTCATGCCTCGTCTAGTGGTGTCCATGTTTTTGATGTAGTAAGGACGTGAAGTGATGAAGCACAGACTGCCTGACTGCCTGCAGGGTCGGAAAAAAGCAGGGGCTTGTGTACCGTCTTGTGTCGTTGCGAGGGTAGTTTATAGACGATAAGAGACCACAAGTTGTGTTTCTTGCGAGACTTACTCGATCGTTGTGCTGACATTGGCAGCGAGAGGTTAGAAGCCATGCCGTCGATTGTGGCATTGTCAAGTAGTGATGTCGAAGCCGCTCTCACTGACTGATGAGTTGCAGCAATAGTCAAAGCACAACATGAGCGGCGAGACACATACTGTGTACGAATATGATTCACGTCGGTACTTGTCCACAATCCCAACAGCTCTTTCAACATGTTTAACATGTTAACGTCGGAGATGTCAGCACCGTACCCCCTTTCGATTGTAGCTTGGCGGCGACATACCACAAGAACGGCCCGTTCCTGATCAATGTTGCCGAGTTGATCCAGAACTTCCGTCAGCTCTGGTAACATCGCATGGCCAGCGAAATCAAAGAACAATGCAATGCACGTGTCTGATTATGCCTTTGTCTCGGCAACGCGCCGCCGCAGCTGGTTGGACGGGGTTCGATCGACCAGCCCGGCATCCGACTTTTGTCACAAGCGACGTCCGAGACAACGTCTGACGTAGCAACAAAGTACCGCACTGACTCGAGAAACGTGAACGTCCTGCTAAATGTGTAAACTATGGACTTCGGATGTGTGTGTACTTGCTCTTTTCATAGTCCCTATAGCTGCTCGAGCTACTTGCAACAAACGAATGTCAACCGTATGCGTGAATCGTAGCACCACATTGAGGTACTGAAAGCCGTATTGCTATTTTCCAAAGTTCAAGTACGCAGAGAGAGAGAAAAGCACTGAGACGCACGACGTTGTCAATCGTTGTCGGTTGTCGGACAGGATCATCATTCACGAAGGAATCGCGCAAGATGGCCTCTGCCATGACTTGATGCTTTTATTGTCATTCCCGTGAGTGCTCACGAAAGAGGTGCACTCGTGACGAACGAGTTTAGCTTTCGTTATTCTGTTCTTCGAAAGCTACGACGGATCAAGAGCTGAGTGTCGCATTAAGGAATGCGTCAGTAGAATGTAAGTAAAGGCTATCGAAAACTAGATGCTAGAGTTCTCATCAACTTGTGTTCTCCTGCATCTCGGACTTTACTATGCTTCATCCAACATAACAATGCGCTTTGGCGAGTGAGACGAAGTGACAACGCCACGTAGCCTCGTGTGCTCATTGCTTCGTACAAGAAGTGACAGCCGTTCCTTTGCATCAACCCGGGCCCGTAGTAACTTGGATACGTATTCCCTCGACTTGCACGTAGCTGTTCTTGGCGACTTTTACACTGGCGGTCTTATCTCTGGTTGAATGATAATGTGCTACAGCACACATGTTGTGTCGACTGTAACGAAACAGACCTCATCTACTCACATCTGCAGCCGACAGCAGATGAGGCAAAGTGAACGCACTTTGCCTCACTTGACCTGTGGTGGTCTTCTTTTCGTCTGTTCTTGTGAGCAATAGCAGACGCTTTCGTGCTCTTCTTTCCCGCGATTTTCAGCTTTGTCGATACATGCAATCCCTTCTTTCTTGTCGGCAATACATGGCGTACGACAGTATCAAGGACGGTCACCACCTGCATGTGTCAAAAGGGGACGACGACACTTGAAGAAGGGACCGCCAGCTTCCGTAGATGTCTGCTAACGTGGCACTTGACTGATGTGGTCGCAATATTTGTTGTCTCGTGCTCTTGTACCAAATGCCTCTCACTGCCTCCATCCGACCAGTTTTCGCATTGTTTCGGTACTCGGCATATCACGATCTGTAGCAGCGCCATCAACGCAATACGACTTGTGTCGACGTTCCCACGATCGCGCAAAGATGCCGACTTCCACTGTCACCTCTCGTCTTGCCCTTGTATGACTGCAACAGTGCTGCGTATATAAAGCGAGTAACGTCCAACTCGACACAAGCCGAGCAATGCGAATGCCGCACACCCAGTGCAACTTATGCCACCTCGCTCCATCGTTTATCCGCTCACGACTTGACATCTCGGTGCTCCATCTCGTGGGATGGAATGAACAACCGGAGGTCCATATTGAATGCAAAAACAACCAGTCGCACCATAAAAAGCGTGTCCTCTCACTCTTTAGCGAGTGCGGAACAGATGGAAGTACCGAGAGGCCTTCATTGACCCGACGCCTCGCATACTCGCCATCTCTTCTTCTGACACAGGTTGCGCCTCGAGAACGTCCTGTCAAGACAGGTACACATAAAAAGTGAGCCATAAAATCCAAGTACAGGTCAGAGCTGTATCGTCATTGCGGAAGCATCAATGACGAACGTACCCGAACAAGACGGCGTGACATTGCTTCTCGCTTGGAAAGACTCAAGCGCTTCGATTCAGCGAGTATCTTTTGATACTGATACTCAATCGCGCCTTTGGGGATACCATCGTCCGTGTCATCCTCGACGACTTTGACCCTGCGCTTGGCACTGACTTCTTCATAGTGCATCAATTCAGTAGCAGCTTCAAGTGGCACGCCGCAGTTGCAATTCCGGACACATCGAGACGGATCAAAGTGGAAATCGAAGTGCGAGTACAACAACTCCTTTCGACATCCGCTGGCCATCTCGCAAAAGGCCGCCACCTCTTCTACTTCTCTTCGAGAAATTCCATTCGACAGTGCACCTGAGCCTGTGCCGTCAAAGTCCAGCCTGCCTGTTGTCAACGCATCTGCTCGACTCTTGTCTGCTTCGGCATACAGCAGAACACAAGTCGCCGGTCTACCGTCTCGACCACCTCGTCCCTACACGACAAGTGCGCGATCAGGCCTCTCATCCGCATCCACTACTCTACAAACCCAATGTGGAACGCACAACTTGTTGCATATATGCGCTAAGGGATAACGGAATCGAGTGGTGTATCACAAACCGCACGTCCGATCGATCGATCCCCATCTACGATAGCGCCAATGCATTTCCAAATCAGTCCGCAAGTTGCCAACAGTATCGAATACCATTCAGCACAATGTACACGACGCACCCCAAACGCGCTTGTCGCGCAAATAATGGTCAAATGACCCATCATCCACTGCTTGCGTACAAACTCACGGCGCTTTTGTGGCAATGCACCGTGATAAACACCTGCGTGGCATCCAAGGCGCACGAGAGCCAAGCACAGCGTTTCTGCTTCGTTCCGCGTCATGCAGTAGACAATCGTCGTCTCGGTTCCCACTCGACTGGCGATCTGCGGTGCAGCATCTGACTCCTTCCGTACAACTTCGAGCCGCAAATTCTTGCGGTCCGTGACTTGTTGGATCACTACCAACTGATTGTGCCGAGTCATGTCAAGAAAGCCGTGTCCGTCGTTGACCGTAGGGAGCACTGGCAGCAGTTGCAATTGGAACAACTCGGCTAGCTTTGCAATGTCTTTGTCCGAGACGGACGCCGTTGCCAGTGTCAGTGGTACTTCGCTCAAGAACTTTGTCTTGAAGTGGCCCAGCTGCAAGTACGACGGCCGGAACGAGTTGCCCCACTCGAGTACACAATGAGCTTCGTCCAGTACGATCCGAGCCAACTGCTTGTTCTTGTTGGCTGCATGAACCCATTGTCGCATCTCGTCGTTCATCTGCAAAAACTCGGGCGTCGTGTACACGAGTCGCTGAGTTGCAAGTAGTTGACTTATCGGAGCTGGTCGCTGGTTTCCAGTTCCTGAGATGTGACACGCTAGCACACCTTTTCGTCTCAGCGATGCCACTTGGTCCTATTGCAATAACAACAATTGGTGAGAAGTGCATCGATAGGATATCCACTTACATGTCAATCACACAAAGCGCTTTTTCGATCAATCTGAAATAGAGTATTCTCGTTGGTGGGTTCCTTCGTACGTTCATGAGAGCGAGGAGTGGCGACACGACAAGAGTCGTTTGGTCAGGTTTAGTCAGTAGAGCAGGGGCCTGAAACGCTAAGCTCTTGCCAGCTCCAGTAGGGAGATGCAGAAACACGGAGTACCCTTTTGTAGCCATCGTGACCGCTGTAGACTGAGCTTCGGACACGTGAAACGCTTCTGTTGCGTTCACTTCGAGTAATTGTCGATAGACCGTATCCAGAACTTGTTCATGTGTCGAGATATAGCGACTGAGAGACGCACGTAGAAGCACTCGACGACGAGATATCATGACGAGCTCTCAAAGCACTATGTTAGGGCGTGATAGAGTTATAGGGACGTCATTGGATGGGCAGACAGAGAGATGTAGTAGCTGAATAGGTACTTGAATACGTACTTAGGGCGCATTGAGTGTGCGCTTTTTGACATCGCGCTGTAGATACTACTGAAACAGATACTGCTGCTCCAGCTATCGTTGCAAATCAGACACCACTGGGCACGTTTTGGCACAGAAACGATCATGGACGTGGAAACGCAAGCCGTAGCTTTGCTCTATCTGGACCATAGTTCACCCTATTTGCACCATACTGATCCAAGTCTTGGGACATCCTCCTCCTCTATTCAGCTTCCAGCATAATCATCATGAAGTACCCGATGGAGGATATAAATCATTGGTAAACGTGGTAAACAAAGCCATACTCCGATGCATTCTCAGGATCCTGCAACCCACAACCAGCATCCGAGCAAAAGGATCAACGCACATACCGATCCATATCTCATGTATATTCGCGCTGCATTATTCCTAACTCCTCTTAGTACCATCGCGACGACGTCGACATTGAGTGCAAACCGCGTGTCGAATCAATGAAAGACGTACTTCACTGTACCTGCACACGTTTCGAGCCTCTGGATCGACTACCAACTCACCGTCTTATTCTATCGACTGCAACTGCTCCTTCGTCACGCACACCTTCGGATGGCAGTCCATCAATCACTCAGTCGGTCCATCGCTCACTCCGTCCGTCGGTCTCGTGCAGCTCCCTCACAAAACCTCAATGCAGCGCCTTCACTCACTCACCCAAAAAGGGGGCAGCCACTTGCCAGATCGCTCCACTGCGCACGAGGTCCACGACCGCATCAATGTCTGGTTTCATGACGCGGTCCTTGTCAAGTTTCGGTACACGCGTGCGCACGACTGCATGGACAGCTTCAAGTACTGCTGTCGTCCGTAGTGGCCGAAGGAGATCGAGCGCTTGGCAGGCCGCCAGTAGCTCAATGGCGACGACTGTCTCGACGTGCTCGACGACCGTAAGGGCCTTCCGAGCTGCGAAGCCGCCCATGGACACGTGGTCTTCTTTCGCTCCACTCGTCGAGATCGAGTCCACGGACGACGGATGAGTGAGCACTTTGTTCTCCGACACGAGCGCAGCGGCCGTGCAGTGGGCAATCATGAACCCGGAATTGAGCCCTCCGCCCGGCACGAGGAACGCCGGCAAGTGACTCAATGTCGGGTTCACCAGTCGCTCAATGCGACGTTCACTGATGCTGGCGATCTCGTGGACGCCAATGGCCAAGTAGTCCAGCGCCTTGGCCGGGTACTCGCCATGGAAGTTACCTCCTGAGATGACAAACCCATCGCCACCACGGTAGAACGTGTCGGACGTGCGCTTCATGTCCGCAGTGAAGCGCTCCATTGTCTCGTACTGCTGCACGCTGTTGTCGTTCAGTAGCGCCCGAAGCCGCTGAATCTCCCGGTTGGCGTCTTCGAGGTCCGTGATCTTCGGTTCACTCAAACGCAACTCAGCGTCGCACTTGTCCACCGACATCTCCTTCAATGCCACCGGAGCTACTGCTGCTGGTGGGTATCCGATATCCGTTGCCACGTCGGCTGCCGGTCCCGTAAAGACCATGGGGTTGTCCGTCGCGCTGTTCATTTCGACGGTCAGCACTTGCCGCACAAAGGCGATCGTGTCGTGCACAATGCCGTGTACCTGCGGTGCACAGCGCAGCGAGTAGGCGTCTTGGACTTTACCAACGTAGTTGTGGCTGCGAAACAACTCGGACGGGTCATCGGGACTCAGCAGTGTGCGGACACGTGCCGCCACGCGCGCTTGGCCAATATGGGGACGAGCTGCGTGGATACGCGGGTGGAAGGCGTTCACCGTACCGCAGAGCACTTCGAGCGATAGTGCAACGACCACGTCGGCACAGTTTGTGACGTTCTGTGCGCGCACGAGCGCTTCGACCCCAATGGACGTGATCAGTTGCGTGCCATTGATCAACGCGAGTCCTTCTTTCGCCTCGAGCTGCAACGGGTGCAACCCGTGTTTCGCAAGGACTTCAGCTGCGTCGCGGATTACAACGTCGTTGTTGTCAGTAGTGTCCCACATGAGCCCTTCGCCCAGCAACCCGAGCGCCAAGTGCGCGAGCGGGGCCAAGTCCCCCGACGCCCCCACAGTGCCTTTGCTCGGGACAAGCGACAAACACGACGCGTTGAACGCGTCGACGAGCTGGTGCAGCGTGGGGACGCGGATGCCGGAGTGGCCTTTGGCCAGTACATTGATGCGGAGCGCAAGGAGCATGCGCGTCTGCGCAGGGGTTAACGGGTCCCCTGTGCCCGACGCGTGCGACCGAATGAGGTTCGCCTGCAGCACTTTGAGCTGGTCGGGCTCGATCACGACCGTGGAAAAGAGCCCAAAGCCCGTGTTGATGCCGTACGCGACGCGGGTGGGGTCTTCGAGGACCGCATCGACCACGTCGCGACTGCTTGACACGCGTGTCCAGGCGTCGTCACTGAGGGAAATGGAAGTCGCACCTTTCGACAGTGTCAGGAGGTCTTCGGCGCAAAGGGACTCGCCATCGAGCACGAGTACGGATTTGGTCGACATGTGTGTGCACAGGATGGATCGAATGGAGCTACTGATGAGGAGGAGGAAGAGGAAGACGGTGGGTGGGGTGGGATAACTCGCACTGGCTGATGGTGAATGAACGGATGGAAGTGGAAGAGATAATGGGCTGCGGCGTGAGGGATCGATGCGTACAAGTGGTAAGCGGTGGCCGCTGCATGCAGTTGCGGTACATCTTGTTGACAAGGTGAGATGGTGTTGTTCGCGGTTTGAGCTGCTATATCAGTACAAAACGAGCGAGGCACACGGGGAAAGTGCCGACAGTCGCTGTGGTTGGCTTGTCCGTGTACTGGATTAAGCACGTGATTAGACGACGATTTGTTGAAGTTGCACGAGCTTTCGTGAGATATCGGTACTTCTGTACGCAGAGAATAACACGTTTTGCACGATTGGATGCAACTGGAGCTTGCGCTTGAAGTCAGCCGTCTGGATGAACAGTGTGGCCACAACAGTCAACTGTCAGAAGACGATTAATGGACAGGAGAGCAAGCTCTACATCATTACAGGCAGCACTTGCTACTCGAGTGTAGGAAGTGGCCCCGGATGCGCACAAGCGAAGTGCAACTTGGCTGTCTCGACGGACGTGCTACGTGGGCAACTGCCGACTGGAACTCGTTCCGATCGCAGTCGCAGTCGCTTTGCAGTGTGTGTTGACAGTTCTTCTGCCTGGTAGCTACAAATTGTTTTTGTTGACGGGTGCTGCAGACAAGCATTGCATGAGTACACGATCCCAGGCAGCTGTTGTATTCAGGTGTGTGCTGCATTGGGACGAGTTGCCAGAGCATAAGCGTCAGGTAGTACGTCATGCACCTCATAGATTCGCGTCAGTTCAATCTGATTGCGTCGTCCTGCGTAGCATGTTGGACTAATCTTGACGTCACAGCGACTCGATGCAGCCTGTCACGTAACACGTTTGTCAGTATCTACAAATCTATTTGATAGCTTTTGATGATGAGATGCACAGCTTTAACTACGCGAGCAGGTGGTGGTGCCACCATTGCAAGCGCCGATCACCGAAAGCGCATGCACGACTTTTCCCCTATGCATACGCTTTGACACGGACCACATTGCGTTCACCTCGTAGACGTCGTTTCAAGTCTCGACAGCGACGTAGCTACGCAAAGCACAACTTACTGTTGCGATCGGAACAAATGGTGCGGCGTGACACGGTCAACATTCTACCTACGTTTATTTCGTTGCCCTGTGCTCGCATAACGCAGTTGACGGTCCTCTTGTGATCGTTTCATCGGTTTCTCGTAAACTTGTCAACCCACAAGTGGCACTACACAACTCCGCAGCTTTTATCCTTCAGGCTTACCACGTCGCTGATGGTCTAGCTTCACCAACCTTTGGCCCGAGAGCGCAAGGCCACCACACACTCCAATCGCGACTGTGGTTCTTCCCACGAAGGTGACATCAATAGCAAATCGACATGCTGCTGTCGTACACTTCTTCCTGTCATTCACCATCATTAGGTTGCCAAGCGAAGCCACCTTTTTCAAAACTCATAACAAAGTCCAAGTGAAGACTAGGGCCCAAGCTGTGCCAAGCGGCCATTCATCTTTTCGCGAGAGAAGGCGAGCCGATCTACGTACAACTCGTACTTCTCTTTGGCGAGCTGCTCCTTCTCGGCATACACTGTTTGCTCCAATACAGCTAGCTGCTGCATCTTCAACTCCATTTGACGCAACTGATTCTCCACAAGTTGCTGTACCAGATCCTCCACAGGTCCATTGGCCATGTCATCGGCAATCTTTTGCGACCGCGTTGCCAAGAGTGCAACTGTCGTGGCATTCGCCGCTTCTTCGATGACCGCAATCATCTCCTTCGAGACTGGCGCTGCATGGCCCTTGCTGGGATCTTCCGTTTTCGAGGTGGACCCGACAATCGTGTTTGACGACGAGGCATCCTCCATAGTCACATTGCCGTCCACAAATAGTGTGTCCTCTACTTTGACGCTCGATCCGATTCCTGCAACCTCTGCGCTGCTGGCAACTGCCGCTGCTGCATCCTCAAGCGAAGAAATGCATCCATCACTGGTCGTAGACGACCCTAACATTTGCGAAGCGCTCTCTACCTTGACTTCAGCTGCATCGCCCTTTGCTTGGTCCTTCATCGTAGCCAACGATGCCTCTAGTGGCGACGTTGCTACTTTTGCTGGCATCGTGTGCAACCGCTTGATGGCACCTATCGCAGCGTGAGCTGCAGCTTTTGCAACGAACGGGTCAACCTGTTCGACGAGAGAAACCAGATCAAGCACAGGTGCATTCAGAGCTGCTCCAGCAGAAAACGGTCGCATCGAGTCCACTAGGTCACCAACACTTGCCTCTCGATCACCCATCGACGCCGACATGTTGAGCATGGGCATTTCCAAAAAGTGCAACAAACACTCGTCTGCTGTCTTCGAGCCGACCTTGGACGCCACGTAATTCCAATCACAGCTATCCTTGCCCTCATCCTGTTTATGCACGCTCTTGGTCCTATTAGCCTTCGTGCTGCTATTCACAGCCGTCAGTAGTCGATCGTTCTCTTCCTGCGTCCACGACGATGCTGCGGACAGATTTCTCGCTACGGTAGGCATCAGCACGAAATCCGAGACATCGTAGCCTTCTGGATAAGCTCCACGAATGTAGCACGCTTCACAAATGCCACTGCCCGGTCGCAGTGCAAACCCTCGTACCGTCACTTCTTGGCCTTCACCTGCTTTGCCGCCAGTCCCATTCATCCCATGCAGTGCACTCAACGCGTGCCCCACTGCCCCACTTGTCGTCAACTTTTTCTTTGCTTCACTTGTGAGCTCAAAAAACAAATCGTCCACTTGTCTCGCCACGCCACACGCTTCACACGCCAACGGAACGTTCATTCGACGTCCACTCTCCTTTTGACTCGCTACGAGCATTGCCACTGGACTCGGCCCGTCCCGAAACGACCCACCACCACTACCACCACCACCACCAACAGCAGCAGTAGAACTACTATTACTGACCGCGTGGAGCGCGTAGTTCGAGTGAATGGCTGGCGGCATCGCGTGCGGCGGCACGTGGAAATTGATCAGTCCCCAGTGCGTGAGGAACTCGTGCACGCGGAGGATCGCACAGGCGTCTCCTGCCAAGTGCCGGCGACAGGCCGTGGCCGTCAGGTACACGTCGGGCTGCTGGCGCGACGCGTGGACCATATAATTGCGGTACTTGAGGTACAACTCGGCGGTCTTCGAGCCCTGAGAGGCGCTGAAGAACTCGGGCAGCATGCGCTGTTCAATGGGATTGATCTTGTCCATGGAAAACCACGTGCTGCAGCGCGGCACGGCGATAACAGGCGCTCTAACGGACGGGCCAGTCGAGTCGACGGGTGCGTGTCGCGCAGATGGCGCTCCTGGGCGTGGTGGGGCACGTCCAGAGACGAGACGAGGTGCAGTCGACGCAGCAGACGATGCAGCAGGAGATGCGCGTGACAGCGAGGCGCGGGACGGACTGGGTGACGCGTGGGGAGCCGCCGACGAGGCCGCGGGGCGCGTCGTGTCGACCATTTGATTGCGCGTGTGGCGGAAGATGTGATGGATGTGGACCACACACACACATGAGACATCGCGGTATGCGGACGAGAGGTATATTGGAGCGAGTGGGGGTGATACCGGTAGAGCGGAGAGCGCATGTGGTACGTAAGTGCAAGTAATTTATTCGGTGATGTCGGTGACAGCCAGAAGCAATATGTCCGACGGACGACGACGAGTGTACGACCACGGATGGACGATCGTGGTACCCGGAAAAAGTAAACATAGTGTCAGTGAGATGTAATTTTCGATTGACTTTTTTAGGTTTGCAGGGGTACAAAGCAAGTTATGGTGTTTGTTGGTTCAGTAGTGGAAATCAGCTGTACGCTCTCTTTTCAGTTATTGCGTAGCAGCTCTTACACGTCGCTTGATTTGGTAGTTCTCAATACACCCAGTTCGTCCAAAAACGCACGGGCGTTCTCTAAACTGCACTTTTCGTGGTAAAAAGCGAAACGTGGGTCGACTTGTGCCCCTCGCGACAGCACGGATGTACACGACTCGTATATCCTTGCCGACCGCTGTCAGTATATACGTCGATCAGCAGTTCGTCCAATGTAGAAAGTGATTACGGAATGCGCACAAGGGTAAGAGAAGGATACGAATGGCTCATAGTAGACACCGGATAGTATGAACCTCATAAGATGGCATGACACGATTGTATTTACACCAACAGATCGATTGCATGCCCTGGAAGCTTCTTTCCATTTTGCTGCAGTGCAACTCACGAGTAGGTCTCATCAAAGTTGTGAACTGCACGAGTGAGCGTGTCGCGTATCAGAAGCATATCGACTCATGTAGATCCTGTACCAACACGATTCCTGCAGCTTGAACAGGTGCTGTCGCTACTTCAGAGCAAACGTTCTCCAAGCATAAGGTTTCCGATTTTCCGTTTTCAACATGCAATATACACATTGTTCGACAAGAACGATCCGTTTGTTTCGATAAATTCTCTTAAAAAAATAGAAGCAAGGGTTGTTGCAGTTATAATGCCTGCCAAGTGAAACAGCAATACCAGGCTGTACGAAATAACACTATTTGCCCATGTTGATGGTGGCCCCTTTCGCCGTTGCTGCTAGTGTCGGCACTGTCTTCTTTCTCCTTCAGCTTCATCGTATTAGATGCATCGCCATAACAAAAAGTGACGCCTCCCATCCTGTAAAACGTATCATTTCCGGCAACAATCTACAGGTTGTACTTCTCAGCGAGAAGAGAAAGTGACTCTACACTCCTACGTGTTTTTTTGCTGCCTTCTGACATCACGACGTGGAGCTAGGGTGGTGGCTACAGCCAACATGTCATTGGAAACAAAACAGTAGCAGATGTAGCTGTATCGGACGAGCGGTTGTTACCATGTAGAGGAGCTATACAGCTCCTTGTTACAGAAGAAGACTTTAACGCTCAACGAGCAACTCAAGGTTCAATGAGCCCGATT